GTGAAGAAGATCATCCTGCAGCATGGCAACGCGCGCCCCACATGGCAAAACTGACCAGAAAACGGTCGAGGAGCTTGGATGGAAAATTTTGGTTTATCCACCTTATTCGCCAGACCTCGCTCCATCTGACTACCACATGTTCCGTTCCCTCTCGAACAGCCTCAGTGGTACAGCCTTCGACAACGATCATGCCTTCAAAACGCGGCTAGACGACTTCTTCGCCTCGAAGCCAGCGGACTTCTATCGTCGTGGAATCGACAACCTGGTGAAACGACGGCAGGAAGTCGTGGAAACCGAAGGAGAATACATTGCCGATTGACTGGTTAGCTTCTATGGTTTGAAAACGAAGTTTCACAAAACTTAGATAAAGCGCACGAACTTATGCACCAACCCAATAGTTCCCTAACTGCTACAGACACGATATTTGGTGTCAGCAGATGTACGGACATATGTGAACCAATTGAAGACGAACCGATAACCAAATCAGGAATATAATTATTTCGCGAAATTAGTCTCGACAGATAACTTATTGAGGAATACGTCATTGATAACTTATTATGTGAATGATCACTGGTAACTTAATAAGTGCTGACTCATTGATAACCTGTTAAAGGATTGGTAACTGATAACTCATCAAGTAACGTGTCATTGGTAACTTAGTGCGTTAGAACAGATGTATGGGTGCGTCAGAACAGATGTACCAATTGCCAATTTCAAAATGAATGCTGAAATTTGTTGCTGCGCAGCCGATCTATGTAACTGTAAGAAATTGACTGGGGATCAATGTAAGAAAGGCGATCCAGGCGATAAAACACCTCTAACACCTGCGCCTCAGAATCCAACAGGCACCACCACTTCGAGACCACATCGTGGAAACCCATCAACATTTACACCTCATAATGCAGCAGGCACCACCACTTCAGGAGCATCTTACGAATGTCGCCCATCTACCTTTGTGATGCTTTTGTTCGCCAGTGCGTTCATTAAGACTAATTATGATTTGTATCTGCGTCACTAATTCATGTTTTATAGTTACATCCGATTTTTATCGGATGGTTGGACTGTTATAAACATTATTAAATAAAGATTTTCCTTAACTCAACTTTTTGGAACATTTCTGAGTTGATTAATTAATTGCTAATGTTGACAATCCTCGTTCATTTAATAGTTTCACTGCAGACATACTGCTGCATGGAATTCTCTTTCGATTGATTACATAGCAAAAATGTTAGCGCGATTCTGCATGATTATTGCAGTGATTGCTATAAGGTGATCTTCTCGTGAATTCCGAATTAAATCTTATTGCTAAATTTGCGTTGTGCGATCTAAAGTTTGACTGCATTACAACAAATTATTCGCCATCTTTCTTTCACGGTCGCCACAAACAACGTAACCTCCAGTTGTTTCCATCAGTTGCAGTGTTGAAATCTACTTTTCAATACATTTAAAAAACCCAAAAAATCACTTACATTATAGTGCTAAATCGAATGAAGTCCATTAAATGTCATCAGCGGTGCAAAGTACACATAATA